CCTATGCTGTATTTTACACCCCCATAACTATTTTGTAACTACCAATTTGTACTTCTTAATCTCTTTCACATTTTTCACCCAGCGGCCCCCTCCCTCCCGACACAATCTCCTCTGGCAACCATCAGTTTGTTCTCTGCATCTATTGCACACCCAGTGCCCCCTGCCCTGTGTCTCCAGCCCCTCCCCCTCTCCTCTCCACAGACAGACTCCTTATGCCCTGAGGGTGCCCCCCCCACCACTGACCCCTTGAGTCCTGCAAGACCAGCTCTGGAGACAGCCGGTCCCCATGGCCCACACCCTCCTCCCCACCAGCCCGGTCCTTCGCCTCTTCCCTGCTCTGTCCTCTCCTCTCGTCCCTCTCCCTCCCGAAAGCCACTGCTGCCCACTAGCAAGTTTTAGGGGAGTCTGCACAGCCCCCAGTCCAAGCTCCTCTGAGGCCCCACAGGCTTCAGTGCCCACGAGTCCCAGGTCCCCCAGCCCCCCCAGGCTCCACCGGGGGCTCGGACAGAGGCTTCTCACTCACCACCCTCAGAGGGGCTCAGGGTCTCCCCGCCACCATCCCCCAATGTCTTCCTGCCCCCCACCCCCTGCACCTCCAGCTCCTTTTCCACCTGCTGGCCAGGGCTCCCTGAGGGTCCCTGATCTGTCCCCCTGCTCCGGGAGCCCCACCTGGGCTGGGCAGGGCCTGGAGGGCCACGCACCAGCTCACTGAGGGTCAGCAGCCACAGTGCTCACTCACCTTGGGGCCTAATGGTCCCTCAGCGGGAGGGCCAGGTGTGGCCCGGCTCCCAGACCCTGGCACCATGGGCTCCTCCAGTCGCTGCCCTGGAGGCAGGCTTGCCAGGTGGGGTGGGGTGAGGGGGTCAAGCGGGGGGCCCCTCATGCCGAGGATGGCCCTGAGGTGGGCCAGCAGGCGTGTGCACCCACCTGAAGCCCGCCCGTCCCCGCAGATACCTGGTGCTAGAACATGTGTCTGGTGGGGAGCTCTTTGACTACCTGGTCAAGAAGGGGAGGCTGAGCCCCACAGAGGCCAGCAG